TATATAAAAGAGCACTCTTTCTTTTTTAATTCTTTCGTGTTGTCTATCATTTACTCAACACCACGTGAAACAATTTCAGCAACTCAAATTGTAAAGCCAAATTTTGGAATGCTATTTATGTTGAACTGAATCAATATCAATTTGATTAAGTAATAAAACTTTGTATTAAAGTAATCAATTAGAAAAAAATTCAATACGTGACAAATTAAATCAAAAATCAAATCCTACCCAAACATAAAAAAAAACTTTCATAATGCTTGTGAAAAAATAAAAAATATAGAAAAAATCACAATGTTTTTGCAATAAAATTTAAATCAACATGTAAACTTTATCAACTATTCTTTAGAATTTTATCCACGTACAAAATTATTCTCATATATATTTTTATTTTTCATATTTATTTTAATTTTTACGGTCATTCAAATACTTTCGTTCACGCGCATCGCGCTTGTGTTTCACAATTATATAATAAATAATTAAGCTCTAACAACATCTGATTATGAGTGTGTTCATGAAATAAGTTTATGAACAAACAAAACGGATTTTTTGAGATTGGTTTAATTACTAAATGAGGTTGAAAAAATTGTTTGATCTCAATTCATTTACTAAATAGATGAACAATTATCGAGCCGAGCCTTAGAAAACTTCTTATTCTTGAGTACTACTCCCATCCCAAAATTCTTAGGTATTTTGGGGAATCTAACTTTTTATGATAGTAAGTTTTTAATAATTTTTTATTATATTGATAAGAGTGAATTTTTAAATTTATCGTTACTAAAAAACAAATGAATACTCCAAAATTAGTACACTTGTTTAATAAAGTAAATTCCAAAAGGGAAGTATATGAATGTTATTAAAAGTAGTACATCCATTTTAGGAATGAGACATTTATTTTGGAATGTCTCAAAATAGAAAGATGAACAAGTATTTTGAGACAGGGTGAGTATTATTTTTAGAAAATTGAACAAGAGAACTATTTTATATATTTCTTTGAAAATAGTTTTTTGTTTTCTAAGATTTTGAGAATTGTTTTAAGAAAACTAAACTAAGGAAATCCCTTTCACTTCTACATATATTGAAAGTTAAATGTTTTGCTTAGAGAACTAAATATTTAAGTAGAATAATAATAATAATAAATGAGAGAAATGAATTTATTAGTGTCTTTTTTACCACTTATAAAATCCAAAAGAAAATTATATATTTGCTAAAAATAAGGTAAAATTCCACATCAACAAAAAAGTTCTTAGCTGGCGTGGGTGGCCCAATAGTTGTGAGATATAATTTTTGTAATTGGCTAATTTTAGTGTCAAAACAAGTCCGGTCGAGTTGTAATTTTCAAGTTACCAATTCAAGATCGAGACCGGCTATGGAATTAGAAAGTTGTTCAAGTTTGATAAACTAAGATTTACGAAAAAGGTATGAACAACACTTTAGGAAGTTGTTTCCCATTTAGGACACTATACATGATATGTTATTCAAAGTTTCTAAATCAGATTTTTTCCACATTGCTTTATCCTTTGCATTCAATTCTGTCATTTGGCAGTACCAAACTTTGCTACCGGTTCAAGAACTTGTACTTCACAGAATACATTATGTCCTTTGGGAACCGATTTTAAAATTGGCTACCAGTTCCACATACTGATACAGTTTAGGTAATTGTTTCCTATTTTGTCTAACTTCCTAGGTATAGACTTCTTTCCAAAAGCCTTATGCTTGAAATTTACCTTTTCCTATGCATATCTAAGTCATTGAAAGTCTATATAAACCTTGATTTGCATCTAGGTTGATAAGGCTTTTTCATTACAACTTTTGATTTATTAAAAGCCTATTTGAGAGATATTTTGCAAAAAGTCAAATATGATTTTTCTGTTTTTATTTCTTGAACGTACACACACATAAACATAAGAGCTATTTTAGGGTGTTGTTCAAATCCTGATCATGTTCAAAGTTTATTGAATATTGCATCTACAATGATCAAAGAAGCAGATCTATTTCTTCTACATCAAATTTAGATCTTGAAGAACGGGGTGAAACGATCACACTTTGGAAGGGTCAAAGCATTCGAGGAATGTTTTTGATTTACTAGGAATCCTCTTACAGAGATCAAAAGTTAGCCTGAAATCAAGAGCTGTTAGACGGGACGTCGCAAAGTTAGAGGATTATCAGCAATTGGTGTTTAGTAGAATGATAGGGTGTGAGTCTGAGTCAAAGTCCATTGTACTTTGTTTAAAACATAGTGGGTCAGTTTACTTTAAATTACATAGTCCATAAAGTTTTTCCCATAACAATTGGTCTATTCTACCAATTGAGGTTTCTTCGCTAAAAATCCTGGTGTTATCTCTAAAACTCTATTTATTCGCTAAAAATTCTGGTGTTATCTCTAAAACTCTATTTACTTTACTTTACTTTTATTGTGCATGTGATTAATTGATTAATTACTAAATTAAGCAAAGTTGATTAAAATAAAAAGACAAAAATTTTATTTTTTTCCTTAAAAACTTAAACTTTCCATAAATATCTTACGCTTTACAACTCACAATAGCTGCAAAGTCTCCTACGCTGCACAACTCACAATAGCTATGAAGTCTCTTATTGCGAGCCGTAAACTTTGACGTAGTTTAAATGATATCCAAATTTAACTTACTATCTTGTGATCGAAGGTCACCAAATTGTAAGACTTCCTCGTTACCAATAATTACAATAATAATAATAATAATAATAATAATAAATGAAAAAATTCAAATTCCACCGCTACCTTTCTCCTTCGATGCTTTATTGAAGATATGTGCGCTCAATATTATTGCTTTTGCATGAAAAAAAGTATCGTTGATTCGGTTAATATATATGAATTAACATTTCATCATGAACATTTATATATGTATTTAGAGTAAAGTGGACAAAAAAAAAAAAAAAAAAAAAAATTCTTGTAATGTACAAAATTCCTATTGGTGTTTAATAAATTTCCCTACATTTCTCAAATTGAGTAAATAAAGGCAATTCTTCAATTTGACAATAATTGAAAAATGAAATAAAAAAATTACCCTTACAATATAATAATATTTAGGAAGTATAATAATAATAATATTATTATTAAAAAAAAAAAAAACAAAAGAGGCATTTTTGTCACTCAAAAAGTGTAGTTTTGAGTTTTAAAAAAATTCTCACATCATAAATGGCTATATTCTAACAATTGTATATAAAATGGGGTAATCTGCAACAAATTTTTAAATGTTTGGGGGTTATATGCACATGCTAAATTCGAGGGGGGTATTTTTTTGCACATTTTGTATATAACATGAAAATTATTATTTTTTACCTAACCCTAATATCTTATGATATATACACCTCTGTAGATGTCAATGTTGGAGTAAAATTTGGAGTCTGGAAAACAAAATTTGAGTAATATAATAAAATTCAAAATGCTTGTCGAGGCCTATTGTTATGTAGAGTTGAACTTAATAATTATACGACTAAAATTGCATATGTTATGTAGAGTAATATAATTAAGTCATGTACATGCATCCCGTATTCTATTTAAACTTATGATATTCTTATTAACTATGTCACCACCACCACCTATTAATAAATATTGCATTTGTAGTTAAAAAAATAATGCTTTTAGTTTCTATGTTTTATTGTTTCGTTCATCAAGTTCGTAATGGTATTTATGGTAGTATTACATCACCGGCCAATTTTAATCATCAAGTTGAGAGTGATGTTTATTATTGTTATTATTATTATTTTTTATTTTTAATTGGGGTGTGTGAGGTTTTGCTCCGATTAATTCACGAGACTCATCTCTTCATACGAATTTGGAAAGGCTCGGACTATGTCTGCGATTGTAACCTTTAAAAAATTGATTGAAATCGAGAGAGACTTTTAACGCAGCAAGTCCAGTGACTTAACCACTTAAGTCAACCCTTTAAATTTAAGAGTAACGTGGTGGTGTTTATGTTAAATCATGGAAATTGGAAAGTGCTAAGCAGTTGAGTTGTGCTAGCAAAGCTCTTGAATTATGGTTGGGCTTTTACATATTATGCACAATTCAATAAAAATTGCTCCGCTTTTAACAAAAAGGGTATTTGTGACAGCAAACTACTGTCACAATTAAAACTTTTGGAAAAAATAATAATACTGTGACAACTAGTATATTATGGGTGACCAAATTTTTTCCTCACGAATAAGAAGTATTTGTAACAGTAAGAGAATTGATGCAAATACCCTTCAATCGTGGCGATAAAGGCAAATCTCAAAAAAAAGTTTAGATATGGCAAAAATAGAAAATAAAAATACATTTTATATAAAAAGAAAATATTTTTTATATTAAAAAATATATATTTTATCAGTTGATGTAATATTATTAATTTAAATAATATTGTTAATTTAAATAATATACTCCCTAATTCGTTTCATAACATATAAAACATGATTCCTTAGTCAGTTTACTTGATAAATTTTGAACTTCTCTTTACATTTATACCAATTATAGTATGTTATTAATATTAGAAAAATTAAATTTTAATGTTCAAAAGTTGTTAAAATCGTGTTATGCAATAGAAGTATTGCAGGTTAGAAATTAAAAACTATATTTTAAAATTATGGATGCATTTAAGAAGTATCCAACACAGGTAAAAGTATCTGTGCTTCCTAGAGTGCCATTATGCTTCAAATCTAAAATTAGACATTAATTAGACAGCTAGCCAATCCAGGGCATCACAAATATATATATATATATATATATATATATATATATATATATATATAAAATAAAATAAAATTCAACAGCAACTTTTCAACCCTCCACTCTTATCTAACCTAGCAATAACACTTATTCTAGACAATCAAATGCATCTTACAGGTTTATTCCTTGAAATCTTTTGTTTTATGATAAAGAAAAGGTCTCCTTTGTCTCTTTCAGTTGATGATCCAAGAAAAGAGCTAAACATGGTTGAGGTAGATAAAGAGATACACATATACCCTATTATAAAGTAAAACCCAGGTCATGAAAATAAAATAAAATAAAAAGTAGTAGTATTTGCATAACATGGGGAGACATTGAAGGCAGAAACCAAAAGGCAAACAAGAAGAGACAATATCTTAATCACACTTATTATCCCCAACTATTGAACATAGAGCTCAAAAGAAAATATCAAAAAACCACAACTCGACATTTCTCAGAACCCCTGGGTAAAGTCTGTAGCGTGCAAATCTCAGCTGACTTTCTATCAATGAAGGACTTAATCATCAGTTTCTCGAGAACTTTTGAATTCTTCAAGAAATACTCTACCATTTTCAGCTCATCAATTTCCCCTTTAAACCACCGAATGTAAATGTCCTTAAGGTGAAACAACAAACAAGAAGGCACGTACTCGGGTGGATACCAACTATAAGTTGTCTGGTTTTCCTCGACTTCCTCTTGTGAAAGTAGCCCCTAATCAAAAATGAAATATAAATTGCAATAACTCTCATTTAATAACTAATCAAACAGAGCCTTAGTATTTTACCGCAAAAATAAGCTTTTCCAGTTGTGGCGAGCTTTCAAGAAAATCCAGTAGCGATTTCCAAAAAACATTCAGATAATTTTTGCAACTAATATCCAAACAAGTCAAATGGACAAAAATTGGCAGCGGAGACCTGCACAACTGAAGGGTCATCATGCAAAAAGAAAACAAAGTCAATTAAAATTTGAAGCAAACCAAAAATAGTCCAAAATGTACATATAAGCATCAAGAAAAATAGAAGAAATCATCAGAAATTGGCAAACTGAGCTGACCGATCTGACCTTCGTTGAATCATAATAAGATAAACGAAGCCTCTGAACTTCAGATATTCCTTCAACAAATTCTGCTACAAGTTCTTCCACAGAATTATCATGGACAACTTCGTGTCTTAGGAACAAACTAATGTCAGCATTGACAAGGCCATTTAATTTATTCATTAAATAGCCTTTTGCTACATAGTCATAATATTCAAGATCTTGAAGATTTGGTGTATTAAGTACAAGCTTGTAGCCACCCTTAGACCAGCAATTTATAACTAAACTCTTGAGAGCAGGAGCAGAAATGCAAAGAACACTGATATTTTTTAAATCACAACGTTTTATCGACAACTCTTCAAGCAGAGGGCAGCCAGACAAGAGTCTATGAATTGATTCATCATCCGAAAATCCAAGTTTGTTAATAAGGAGGATTTTGAGATTCTGCAAACACACCAAAGTAGGGACATTGAGAACAAATCGACCAACCAGTTCAAGTACCTCAAGATTTGTACAGGTAAAAACTTCGCGAGCCAGCCCATTGTAGTATTCCATTTGAAAGAAAAGATGAAGTTCATGCAGTTTACGTGCTAGTACAGTAGTAACCAAAACATTAAGATGAGAAACATCATAACTCCGAGTACATCTCAGGCGGAATGTATGCAAATATGATATATTGTGTAAGAGAACTCGGTCGATAAAATTTATGAAGCTCATTTCCACTGACCGAAGTTTTTGCTCTGTACACTCCTGAGGATTTATAGGTTCGACTAGCAATTCATCATCGAAGTCGAGATTAGTGATTGAGGTCCAAAGGTACTTCCATTTTGTTGATAAAACACTAGTTGCCACCGCATACTTTGTTGGAAGGAAAGAGAGGATATGGTCCATAAGACAGCTTGGTAAGTTGCTAATTATGTCTTCATTTTCCTCCACTTCCACTTTCTTAAAACGCCCCCCACATTTATAAACGGAATGCATCATTTCTTTTATGTTCCTAATGAAGGAAACAAATACTATATAATAAAATACTGAAAAGATGGCAGTGAAAACATGAACAAGTAGTAGAATTATATGTGTGTGTAAATATATATATAGAATTTTGATTGTGGAAGACTATTTAGCTATAAATTGGGTACATTGATTGTGGTGGGTTGTTTTGCTAAATTTCGAAATTGAATCAAAATTCAAACCAGATAAGTGAAAAGGCACTCAAAAGATTTACCTTCCAATAGCCACTAAATTGAAGCACACTAAATTGAGTAACATATTATGTATTTATTTTTTATTGCAATAGATTGACTCCATTCTTCCTGTTAACTAAATAACACATTGTCTCACAAGCATTTTTTGGCATTGATGCATGAAGGAATAGAATCTAATACTAAAATCCAAATTCACATGAACAATATACAGGGGAGGATACTCAACACCAACAATAAATACATAAAATTCATAAAAATAATAATAAAATAAAAACCTCAACCAAACACACTCATAAAAATTAAAAAATCGTTAGGGTTTTTAGTTAAATAGCATGGAGATTTAAGAAAGTGAGAGAAACAGAAGATAGGGTGTACCTTGATCAATCCAGCGACGGCTATTCTTCCTTGTTGGTCGCGGAGAGTTTGTGAGGGTTTCGAACAGAAGAGGGGTATGGTCCGTTTGGTATCCGGGACTCTCTTTAAGGCTCGAATCTACCCGTTTAAAAAAGGGTTTTTTTATAATGAGATTATATAATTAAAATTTTGTACTAAAATTTATTTACAATACATCACGGGAATAGTTTTACCTAATTGTTACAAAAACCACCAACCACAAACATTCATGAAAATTTACAAATAATTTTTTTTATGGTTTAGTTAAATAGCTAGCAAGGTACGTGATTTGATCAATACGAGATCTCTCTTTCCGAGTGGTAGAAATCAAGAAGAAAATCGTACCTTGGACGATTCCAGCCACCAATAGTCTTCCTTGTTGGCAATGGAGAGTTTGTGAGGGAGGAGTGACCGGAGCAGAAGCAAGGAGAGTAAGGGTTTAGGAGTTTGGTGACGTAGATGACGTGGAGAAGAGGGGTTTGGAAACGTTTTTTACTTTTTACTATTGAAAATGATTTTTTCATACGTTATAATTGGTCATTTATACAATAAATAAAAAAGGTACTAATGTAATTCTCCACTTAGTTAGCATAAATAATCAATTAAAAATTAGGTTTAAGTGCACTAAACTTCCCTAAACTATGAACTGATTACAACAAATCCCCCTCAATTAAAAATAACCCCCTGAATTATGTGCACTTGAGGATCGCCGTCAGCCAATTGTTAACAGAAAAGGCAAATTACCCTTTTAGCCTTACATTGAACGACATCGTCTCTAAGTTTTTTTATATTGCTAAAATACTTATGTGGCAATATAATCTCCAAAGCTAATAGAAAAGTGACAAAACAACAACCTAACCTTATCAACACACTCGTTATAATAAAAACAAGACAAACAACCCTTAATTGATATGCATCTTCTTGACCCAATTTTTTCTCTTCCTCTTCACATGCAAGATAAGAATAAACCCTAACTCCATCAGAACTCCTTGATGTTCTGCAGATCCTCAGATTGTATTTTGATATTAATGAAGATCCAATAATTTAATAAAATAAAGAGAATAATAACAAAAACCCAATCCCTTTCTGGCTCTACATCCCCTCTCTCTCTCTCTCTCTATATATATATATATATATATATATATACATACACGTATCCCTTTATTATTTATAGACACACACACACACACACACACATATATACACGAATCCCCTTGTTATTTGACTGTGTGTGTGGTTGTTGACACCTATTTTGGTAATTGGGCCTGGACTATAATTAGGCTGAAGAATATTACAAATGGGCTGAAAATATAGTGACATGGCAAGGGCGTGGACTATGAGAAGAGATTCGGCGTGGTATATGTGGTATATGGGCCGATTGCTGGGTTGGGCTTTTGACTGAGGAAAGCGTTGGGCAACTCCACATGTAATACAAATTGCATGCAAAGACATATTTTGAATTTATATGATAGATAAGGATTGTAATTTTAGTATTTATTTTTTAGTTAGGTACAGTTAAATATTATGTTTATCTATAGGATTAGTATATTTTGAAATTACGTATAGTTGTGATTAGAGTTATATTACAAGTAGAATTCTTGTATGTAGGATTCAGTTTATGAATTTTCTATAAATAAACAAAGAGATGCTGAGATCCAAGTCCAGCACCCTCAGAATCTTTTAATTTATTTGTTTACTTTCTCAAGCCTTTCCTAGAATATCATCCTTACTATTTCTACCTTTCTTTCTCTTTCTCTATTTCTCTCAATATCTCGTTCTCTCTCTCTCTATTTCTTTCCATATCTATTTCTCTCCCCTTTCTAGTATCTCTATTATTACTATAAATTATTCATTGCAAAGTCCTTTTAATTAAGGCAATTCTTGAATTTAAAGAGGAGTTTTACTGTTCCATTTTTTCCTTACATCGTCTAAAAGTCAATATTCGCAAAGGGACTGAAGTTAACTATTTACACTCGAACCAAACAATTGGTTCTGGTATGCCTACACTACATCAATTCCAAATCGGATCTAAGGAGCCGATTTTAGCATCAACATTTTTGGCACGCCCGGTGGGACACCACTAGGTGAATTACTTATTTATAACAAAGATGCCTCCCAAGAAGAATTCAAAGAATACGAATACAAATGAGGAAGAGGAAGAGGAAGTTCACCCAACTGGCCAAGCCGGATCCCATACAGCAGGAACTTCTTTCCCATCGGATGTTCCAATCATGAAAATGCTTGAAGCTATTCGGCAGGGAATGGAAAGCCAGGAGGCCCGTTTGGGAGCTCGCATAAATGGGATAGGTCTGAAGGTAGATTCAGTATCAAATCAACTATCGGCTATTCAAAGCCAATCTAATCAAGCCAAAGCTTTAAATGTCTATGAGTCATTGGGTCAACATATTTCTTCATCAAAAGTGATTATTCCTGAAGAACCAAAAACAACGATGACAGGATTTATGCTGCCAAATCCAACTCTCGGCATACCAATCAGCATGATGCCGAATCCAACACTCGGCATCACAATCGACAATGTGCGGAACCAAACTCTCGGCATGCCAATTGGTAATCCACCGATATTATCAGATCCACAGCAATAACTACTGTGCTGGTGTATTAGCCGCCAGTAAATCACCAACAAAATCAAAATGTGCAATGCCGACTGATGCAGCCGATTCCTCCTTTAAGAGATCAGCAAGAGGTGGGCAATCAAAACCAAGGTAGGGTTAATCCAATAATACCATCGGCGGCTGTGAGGGGGAAGGTAAATGCAAATCCACAACGAGAATGGGTTTATCCATTTGTTCTACTTCACCCGAATGACCCTTCAGGCCACGATGTAGGGATCAACAGGGCTCAAATTTTAGCCCTAATTTAAGCCGATGTAGCACAGGGACGCAGACGTCCTCGGCCAGTATACAGGAAGCCATATCCTGATCATGTCGATACTTCTAAGTTACCCAAAAATTATCAGTATCCTGATTTTTCTATGTACAGTGGTGAGGAAATCTTTTCTACAGTGCAACATATTGCAAGGTTCACAACAAAATGTAGAGAAGCTAATCCGTGGCTAAGGATGAGGTTATTTTCTAGTTCCCTCGCTGGGCAGCATTTGAGTGGTACAGTAATCTATCGGCCAACTCTATTCGAACGTGGGATGAGATAGAAGAAGCTTTCCAGACCCAATTTTACCGAACAGAAATAGAAGTTACGTTGGTAGATATATCCCGATTATCTCAGTTGTCGAGCAAATTGGTTGAAACTTTTGTGGCCAGGTTCAGAAAAGCTAAACTTAGATGCCGAGTAAGTCTGCCAGAACCAGAATATATCAAGTTAGCATTAAATGGTTTAGACATTGAACATCGCAAAAGGTTCGATGGGGTTGAATTTCAAGATCTTTTCGATTTAGCAGACAGAGTCACTCGGTATGAGGAAATACTTAAAGAAGAGAAAGAAAGGAAGAATTCTTCTAAGGGTACTTATTACAAGGACCCTAATTATGAGGTGTTCTCTGCAGAAGTTGGAGATAAATTAGAAGTTGACGTTGCTGAGGTTAATATCAAGAAGCCATACATTTGTGAGGCATTGGTCAAACCTAAACCGCTATGGGGGGCAATGCAACATTAACATCGGTAGCAAGGAAAGGAGTTGCCGATACCGGGAAAATCTACTCTTTTGACTTATCAAAAATAGATTAAATCTTTGATCACTTGATGGCCGATAAAATGATATCTTTGCCTAAGAGGCATAAGATTCCATCGGTAAGTGACTTGAAAGGAAAAGAGTATTGTAAGTATCATAACTCTTGGAACCATGCTACTAATGATTGTACTGTTCTACGAGGTATATTGCAGAAAGTTATTGATGAAGGTACTTTAAAATTCCCGAGAAAACTTCAGACACCGTGAAGGTGGATACCAATCCATTCCCTACAATCACATTTACTAATGTGATAATTAAGCTTAACCAAGCGAGAAAATCGGTAGGAGGCTGAGAAGATGTCAGGTGAGTTCCTTTCATCAAATGCGACACCAGAAAAGATAACAGAATTACAAAAACAATTAAGAAAGGCTTAATTGGCCCTGATAGACCATGGTTGTTGCCCAAATTGCAAGGGAAATCAGAAACATAAGGAAGAAGAGCTAAAGAAGGTTCAACCAAAGAAGAAAGGAATTCTTGAGAGGCTTACCTTCCCAATTAAGCCTGGTAAAGAGTCTTGGCAGGATGATTCCAGTAGCAGTCATATGAAGGCAGAAAAGCAGAATCGGCAAGAATATATATCTAACCGATTCCATTCTCAAAATCCGCATCCCAGTTTTAAAAGCCTTTCGCTAGTCTAATCATAAATTTGGGTGCAAAAGGAAGCCGATTCACATAAGGTACGAACTGTAAAACCAAGGACAGACTCAGCCGAGGATAGATGAACTCGAATCAATCACCCAAAATTCCCTAAAGTTCAACAGAATCAGAATAGAGGCCCTACTCGATCTCAGAAAAGCAGGGAATAAAGGAGAAAGGCCGAGGAGAAAAAGAAAGCAAAAGAGGTAAACCAAGAAGAGTTGGCTAAGCAGGTCAGTATTCCAGATAAAGATCAACAGGATGAGGTAGAGGAACATCAGCCGACATGGCCCAGACACAAAAATGAGTTCAAAATTCAGTTTGGTAGTTTTCCAGATGAAATGTCATGTAATATGGCATTTGTATTACCAGCAATGTTCCAGGCCCCATCGTCATCAACTACGAATACTAAAAAAATGAGGAAACAGAAGGTAAAAGTAATGCCAAGGAAGAGGAAACTCAGCCGATTCAGAATTTATCAATTCTTTCTTTAGAATCGGTAGAGAAGGTAGTCTTTGAGAAACTTTTGTTAGCAATGACTCAATAACTAAGGCCTTTGTATGTAAAGGTATGGGTAAAATGCCAACTTATTAACCGAGTGTTGGTTGACAATGGCTCGGTTCTGA